GCAGGTCCACTTCAACTGTTGAATGGACTCCACCACCTAACCCATACCTCAAGCTAAACCTATGGATGCAGCCTAGACAATCCAGGTGCTTCAGAAGTGGGAGGTGTAATTAGGGGCAATGAAGGCAACATACAAGTTATGTTTTCAGATCCCATTGGGATTTGGGATTGGGGATTCTATGAAGGCAGAGTTGAGTGCAATTGTTCATGGGTTAAGAAAAGCTGATTTTTTGGACTACAGAAATATCATTATTGAAGGGGACTCAGAGGTTGTAATAGGATGGATGAAATGAAACCAAGAGGGTTCTTGGAAGGGCATAGATATGATCAGGGAGGTTAAAGATTAATGAAGGAATTGAGATCAAATGTCAAATAGGTATACAGATCTGCAAATAGCTTAGTAGATGGACTTGCTGAGCAGGGGCAATTAGAATAGATTTTTGGAGTTTAATACCTGAAGGGGGGAGTTGTAACTGAGAACTATGCTGGCAATTAGCTGAGGCTAGGCTAGCCCCTTTCTTGTAACTACACGTTATTTTCTTCATAATCAATAAAAAGTTTCACAATTGTTGTTGAAGATTGATTTATTTAATTGGTAGTGTGATGAAGGAATCTCAAAACTGACATGGACTTGTATGCACATAGTGTTGGGGGGAGGGGGAGTTTAGACAAGGGGACCCTTGTTTTTTTTTATTGGAAACGGTAACTTTCATTAATACATTAGTTTAAGTAGTACAATGGTCAACCACCCATAACAAGAGTGTTGACCCCTTAGTTTATCTCAAAGATTACAATACTACCCAAAAAATAACCCTAAGGGTTCCTTTCTTTGCCAAGGTATCAGCTAAACCATTGGCTGACCTCCTGGTCTATTTGAAAATTGCCCCAGTTTCCCTTGCTAAGCAAAATGTTTCCCTCATTTGCCGTCAATATGTCCCCATTGCTTAGCCTATAAGCCAACCTCAACCCTTGAAGTAAGTTCATAATCTCAGCTATTAGATCAATCACCCATTCCTATTGGTCCAGAATACACTTTGATCAATTCTCCCCATCTTTGAATGCTCCCCCAATGTTTGAGGGACCTGGGTTATCCAATGAACTTCCATCAAAATTCAACTTCACCCTTTGTTGTGCTGAATGGATGCATCGTTCCTTAATAATTATGCAACCAATGACTTGTTCCTTATAAAAAAAGGATTATATTAATTTTTTCTTCCCAAATTAACCAAAGGATGGCTGCTGTTGTGGCTCTCCACATTACTCTTCCCTTTTCTTGGTAGTCTAAGAAACTTGGGTCTAAAAGGCCTATAATATCCGGAGGGGTCCACCTATAATCAAAGAGAGATGGGAAATTCCAAATAGAAGATAAGCGACCAGAAATTAATAGGTGTGTAATTGTCTCAACACAGCCTAGGCATAGGCTACAAACATGAGGTGACTAGCAACAATTTGGCCTTCTTCTTTGAAGCTTGTCCAAAGTGTTATTTTTCTAGACCACCACCTATCAATAGAAAGCCCTTATTTTTGAGGGTATAGGGTTACACCAAACTTCCTACCAGAAAGGATCTGTGGATCACTTTTGAAGGAGACGATCGCGATGCCCTAGGGTCAGGACCAGCATCCCAACCATTGTCTGCCAAGTCATGAATACTAACAATCACTTTATACCACAATTTATTTTGTTCTAATGCAAATCTCCATAACCATTTTCTGAACAATGCTAGGTTTCCTTAGTTTGATATTTCCTATACTTGGACCCCTACTATCCCTACTTCTTGACACCACCTCCCATTTCACCAGATGATCTTTCTTTGTATCCCCTGGCTCCCACAACAAACCCCTCGTTATAGTGTCCAATTGATTGGCCACTCTAGCATTATTAAGATTATTCTTCCCCCTAAAGAGGTGCAATTTTTATTTCACCCGACAAACCTCATTGAGAGTTTTTCCAAAATTGGATACCAGAAACTTTCAAAGTTTGGGTCCCCCCAAAGGAAACCCCAAATAAAGTAATGGCTAATCCCTATCTCACAACCCATCAACATAGCAAGGTTTTCCACCTCTTCTTCCTCTTTATTTACTCCTGCTACACAACTCTTGGCCCAATTTTCTTTGAGATTAGAGACCCTTTCAAAGCAGGTTACCACCTCTTTAGATTATTCAATTCCTCCCTCTCTCCTTCACAAAAGACGATGAGGTCATCTGCGAACCGTAAATGTGTAACCACCACATCTTTCCTCCCAACTCTCCAACCTTTAATTAGACTATTAGCATCAACCCTTGAATTCAAATCACATAGAATATCAGCTACTAAAGTGAAGAGGAAAGAGGAAAGAGGATCTCGTTGTTGGAGACTCCTAGCTAAAAAGAAGTCCCTAGCTACTCCATAGACCCGTATATAATAGTGATAGGAGGAAATACAATCTTTTGTCCACTTACACCATCTAACTCCAAAACCCCTAGATCTCAACACTTCTAGTAGTAATCTTACCAAAAAACCACTTCTAGTAAGAAATCCCAGTCCACCATGTCATACGCTTTTCTTCAAGTCCAGTTTACAAACCAAACCTTTCTGCTTTCTCCTCTTCTTATAATCCACACATTCATTAACCATCAGAATTGTTCAATTACTTGTCCCCCAAAAACAAAAGCACTTTGTTTTAGGGAGACCAGGGAAGGAAGGATTCTTTTAATCCTCTTAGCCAACACCTTAGAAATGATTTTATACAAGCTTCGAACTAGGCTTATGGGTCTAATATCCCTTGGTTGGTTTGCATCCACCTTCTTAGGGACCAAAGCAATAAAAATTGCATTTTCTCCTAAGTTGAATCTACCCCTCTCAAAAAAATTCAGCAAAAACCTCCATTAGATCAACAACAATAATCCCCAGCAATCTTGATAAAAAGCCATTGTGAAGCTATTTGGACTTGGAGCTTTGGATCTCTCTAGAAAAAATTGCTTCTTTTACCTCTTGGACTTCAAAGTTTTTCTCCAAAGCCTCCATCAACTCACTAGAACCATTCCTCCACTGAAAGCTTTCTAACCTTTTTCTTATTCTGCTCGGGCCAGAATAGATTGCTTTGAAGTGGTCCACAAAAACTTGTGCTATATCCTCTTCCCTAGTCAATACTTGTCCATTCAATTCTAACTAGTATACATTATTTCTTCTTTTTCTACCATTTGCTACCAAATGAAAAATACTTGTATTACCATCATCTTCCCTTAACCACCTGGACCTAGATTTCTGTCTCCAACTAATCTCCTCTTTTCTCAAGATTTCTTCCAGTCTGTTTAGCCTCTTTTCTCTCTTTCTTCTACCCTTAATCTTCTTTGCCCTTCAAGCTCATCTAACTCCCCTATCCTGTGTGGAATCCAATACTTTCTTTCCTCTGTTCTCTCCAAAACCTCCTTATTCTAATCTTAACCCTAGCCTTCAGCCTTTGTAGTTTCTTATAAAATCCACACCCTATCCACCTAAACTCCACCTGATCTTGCTCTTACCTTTCTTTCACCTTTGTTTTGAATTCAGCRTGAAATAACCACATATTCTCAATTATTAAAGGTAACGAGCTTCCTCCCACTCTTTCCTGTGACAGTTTGATTAGACAGTGATCCGGAATAGTTCTCAGTAAAGCTCTAGCTACCATCCCCCTCCAACCTTCTTCCCAATTGAAGAGAAGAGAATTCTATCCAGTTTGCATCAGATGGGTGCCTCTTGAAAGTTCGGCCAAGTAAAATTTGCTTGTGACAATGGCAGGTCTAGTTTATTAGAATCCACAAACTGATTGCATTTTTTCATACTAGAGGTAATCCTGTGGCATGGTGCTGCTGTCTAGACTTCAAGAGGCGGAGATTCATCTAGAGAGTGCAAATGTAAGGTGGTGAATGGATTGTAAAAATGGCACGTTTTCTGTTAAATTTGTTTATAAAGCTTTGACTTGAAATCAAGTGGAAAGGTTTCCTGTTGGAGGTTTATAGGGCAACCCAATTCCTCCTAGAATTGAAGCATTTGCATTTTGCATGGCTGGTAGTTATGGACACTATTCTCACTCAAGATCACTTGAAGAAATGAGGTTTTTATTTGGCAAATAAATGTGTTCTTTGCAAGACTGAAGCAATATTTGAACATTGGCCAACAATTAATAATAATTTGTGAAGGAAAAGAGAAAAACAAGGAGAAATGTGTGCAGCCATTGGATCAAAATTCTTGTATTGGTTGCTGATTCTTCCAGAATTTGAGGATTCCAAAATAGAAGTTTTTGGTTCTGATTTTTGGAACACTTAGAATTTACTCCAGTTGTGCTGAGAGCAGATGTGGTTGATTGTTTTTTCTTGTTTGGTTGTGTTTTGGATTTCTTTGTAGTTGTGGATGATGTTTTATCACCCAGGTTACATTGTATCTTCTTCTCTTTACTAATGAATTTTCTTTTTTTGTTTGTTTTCAAAAAAAGATTCTAACTTAATCTAACTTTAACAATGACTTGATTATGTTCAAGTCCTTCACCATAAAAATGTTTTGTCGTCTCTTGACAAGATACCAAAGTTTGAATTGTCCTTTAGTTTGGTAATGGCAATATCCTGAAAAGTATGCAGAAAATATTTTTATGGTAATATGCAGCAAATACTTATATATCTGGAAAATATCTTTCTACAAGGCAGGACCATCAAAAATGGAAGACTGAACATTGGTTTATGACCACTTGAAATTGGATTCATCTATAAAGGACCTTTATATTTATTGGAAATCCTAATTAAATTTATGAAGCCCTTCTATGAATCTAGAATCCCGAACAAGAGTTATATGTACTTGTTTCCCCAGTAATATAATAGTGGTTTTGTTTTCCCTGTTTTTTTCCCTTGTGTTTGATATGCCCGTGAATTTCTGTAAAACTGAGGGGCTTTTCCAACAACATAGAAGTGGTTAGGCGTTCTTCCTATCCTGTTTTGTATCTTTTGCTTGCTTTTCTAGTTCATTTGTAATTGGTATTTCGGAAAATGCAGATCAAGTGCCTCCCTACTTAGTAGTACAGATTGTGTATCCCCAAAACAAAGGAGATGGCCTGAAGATATAACCTGGCACCCGCAGGGGAGTAGCCTATTTTCTGCGTACAGTGCTGATGGTGGAGATTGTCAGATTTCAATCCTAAATCTCAATAAATCAGAGGAAGTAAGGACTCTTAAATTCCTTATTGGAAATTTATGCTACTGTTGACAATTATACATGTATTCTTTCATTCAAACATCAAGAAGCTAATGTTTTTATTTTGTTTGCTTGTGTTGGAAGGTTGTTGAGGGATTGAACCATGTTTAGTTTATCCTTATTGGGCCTGTTTATTTGTTTTATTGGGATGTTTTATGTTTATTAGTTAATGGGCCATTTATTACTTATTTGTTAGTTGGCTTGGCATTGGGATGTATTTCTATTATTTTATTGTGGTTCTGTCCTGGCCAACTTATTAAGGGCAGAACTGTCATTGTAATGTTTCATTATAGAAGTCGTTATAAAAGGTTGTGGTACGCCAAAATGAAACCCACTATTGGAGTGTTCTTTCCACTCTTCTTCTATCTTGCTGCTTCCCCTGCTTAGTTTTAGCATATTTTTTGTTTGTTTTTCTTGATTATTCCCTGCTGTAATCACAAGTTGGTATCAGAGCAGAAGTTCTCATGTGGTAGACCCATGTGTCACTATGATCAGCAGTGTACAGGGATAATTCAAGGATTCCTTTATTGATCGCCTGACTTAGTGTTCCCTTTTTTTTTGTTTGAAGGATCAAGTTATTACTGCTGCCTATAAGTGTTTCCTAGTGCTACTGCCCGAGAATCCATAGTAGGTTAGAGATTTTGGTCTTCCAATGAGTAAGGTCTATTGGCTTTCATTGGGGTTAGTTTGATCCCTTCTTCGTCATAATTGAGATTGATAGCCATTAGATTAATTTCTGGAGTGTTTGGAGTGAGCGGCTCCAATTTCTCTCTTGTCCCAGTGGTACTTGGGTTGTTTAACCTTGAGAGATAATTTCATCTGTTGTTTGTAAGTTGAGATTTGATCTCTACATTATCTCTTGATATTTTTTGGAACTATCTATTTTGACTTGAAGTGAGGAATCTACCGAAAGTGATCAAATACAATTTTTGGAGTTCGGAACTCTGCTTCGAAGCATCAGAGAGACCTAAAAAATTGCAATAATCACTGCAATGAAGTTGGGTGGTACAGATTATTTGCAATGAGCTGAACCAATGAGGATTGGAAGTGGTGGATCTGTGGAAAAGGAAAATTGGGATATACTACTAGGAAGTCAAGACGAATCTGTATTCAAGGTCATGGGAGGTTGGGAGGATAGTTGAGTTATGCATGTTGATGTAAGGCAGGTTGGGGGGATGGTTGAAGGGAAAGATTTTTTGGGTGTGAGGAAGCTAAATGGTGGTTTTTTCCTATTAATGTTCTGTAGCAACAATGGAACAAAACGGGTAATGAAGTTGGAAAAAGAGAAAAATAGGGAGAATGGTTTAAGGTTGAATTGGTATTCCCGGTGGCAGCAGTGATTCACTGTGGAAGGAGAGCTCTGTGGATAGGTGTCTAGCATCCCTTTCCATGCCTAGTGCTTACTCACCTTCAAAGAGATTGGAAAGCATTGTGGTAAGTTCCTTAGATATGATGACAAAAATAAGATGTGGATTAAGGTGGATGTTGTAAGGATCATGGTGGAAGTGGCGGATGTCTCTCATATTCCAAATATGATGGAACTTCTCTTTACGGGGGAGAGTTATGAGTTGGGAATTTTTATAGAGAGGGAGGATCAGACTTTTTTGTGTGTAGAAAAGGGAGTATAGGCTGGAAAGGTGGATTCGGAGGAGGGGAAGAAGGAAAGTAAGCTGGAAGACCAAAGTCACAGGTTTGAAGTGGGGAGAAGTCAAAAGTTAGGCAGAGGTTGAAGCAATGTGCTGGTGGGTTTGGGGGGCAAAATTGTAAATTTGGCAGGAGAGTGAAGATTAGATGTTTGTAGAAGAACATGTGGAAGGAGGATTTGAAAAGAGAGTTGGAGTGGAGAAGGCGGTGGGGGAGCATTCAAGAGATTAAGGCAAACAGGCAGTACCTATTTCTACGGTTAGGGTAGATTGTGCAGGGACCATTAACCAATTTACTAAGAAAAGATAAAAGATTTGAAAAGTAGAGTTCTGAGGTATATGTTGTGAGTGAATAAACGGAATTGTCTTAATGGAAAGGTAACAATTAGATCGAAGGGATTTGTAGTTTAAAACAAAAGAAGGGTTGTGTAGGAACTATGAGAAGAATGAATCGGGGTAATAACTAGATATGTAGGCATAAGGTAGGAGAGTGGTAGAAGGTGATAAAGACCGATGAGGGTAGAGAAATCAAAGTTTCAGCCCAACAACTTTGAGGTTGGAGATAACATTTTTAAGCTTCGAGTACCATGTCTTGACCAGGCTTTTCGTAGACTCAAATTAGAGGGGTTTGCTAATGGTAGTTCAAGTGGGGTAGAAGTAAGGGAGGAGGTAGAGTCAAAATCTACTATGGTGGCTATTACAAAGTTGGAGGCAAGGGATCTCATTGCTCACGATGTTGATGGGGTGCCCACAAATGAGGTTTTTGTTCCTACAATCTCTGAGTCTGGGTCGGGGTAGTCCTCTAAGGAAGTTGGAGGTGAAGATAGTAGGGAGGAAGGAGGTGGGAGAAGTGGGGTTAGAGAGAAAGAAAGAGACCAATTGGGCTCAAGGAAGGAGTTCAAGACTATAGAGTATACTAGTGGGAACCCGTGCAATGCACGGGCCTTGTTTAGCAAGAGTTGTAGTGCTTATTTGAGAGGGTCAAAGAACAACTTTTGCCTTTTTGAGGTGGGTCCCTATTGATAGCTTATAAACTATATTTGATGAAAAGACCAAACAACAAAGAGCCTAAAACGTTTGTCCATCCCCACATTAACCTCTTTAAATAGYTTATTTGGTGTGCTTCAAAGTAGTTAAGCTAGATCAGTTGAATATTTAGTTCAACTCTCCTATATGAGCCCTATATTTCACTCCAATTGTACATAGTATGATGTATATGCCCAGTGTTTTAAAAGCACAAGGAGCAAGGCAAGGTGCATGCCTTTTTAAGCAAAGTGCAAAAAATAAAATAAAAAGCTAAAAAATAAAAAAAGTCAAAAAAAATAAAAAAATGCAAAAAAATTATTAAACCTAATCTTAATAAAAATATAAACTTAAATTTTAAAATAAACGTTTTAAAAAACCTATTATCTAAAATTAAAATACATAAATATAACATGTAAAGCATATTCAAATGAGAAGTTAAAAATAAAATCAAATATATAAAACATTTTCAAGCAAATAAAACCCACAATCTCTTTTTTTTTAAATTGCATTACTTATAGTAGCTAATGTGATGTAAAACATATTACATTCCTGATTTTACAAGCTGCCTTTGTGTCACACCCCTCAAGGCAAGCCCAAACAAGTCCACGTTAGGTCTCAAATTCTTAGTTTTCACACAAAAAATAATGATTTTATAGTTTTAATTGCTTTTTAATAAGATATTGTATTAGGATGAATGAATGAACAACACTACCAAATAGGGGGTTGCGCCTAAGACCTGTGCGAGGCACCTACCCTAAAATGCGCCTCGCCTGTGTGCCTATGCGCGCCTTTTAAATCATTGTATATGTTTGACCACCTCTTGATTTATAAATAAAAACTATTATTATTTTCTTACATCTAAATTATAACCCCAGTTGTTGAACATTAAACCCCCAAACCCAAAATTAGCTATAAAAAGCATATGATGAAATGTATGTCTAGGAGTCAAAGTTTTTTCATTAAGGGAAAGTATAGCAGTAGTTCTTTGACATTATCAATTGGGACAAGCCAATCCAAGTCGAATAAAATTAATTATTTTTATTAATTTTAATAATCATTTTCAGAATTTGATCTATCCAATTATTTTAAATGGATCTTAATGAAAATTTTAAAATTAATAAAATTATTATTATATTTAATAACTATTAATTTCATTAGTTACTTTTAAGTTTAATAATTTGATAATTAATTTATTGTTTAATTTAAATTTCTGAAAAAAATTAATTTCAATTTTATTCCATATTTTCATTTTTATTAACCTAATCATTTTAAATAAAATTAAATGGGTTTAACATTAGTGAAAATAATTTTAAAATAAAGTTATACTTGAGTTTCTTTAATGTAATGATTTTCAATGGAATTTAAATGGATCTTAAAATTATATTAGTTGTTAAATTGAAAATTGCTATAATACTTATAATTAAATTCCAATTAATTAATTGTAAAATTCATATTTTTATTAACTATTTTTTAATTTGTATAATTTAATTTTAAAATTAAAGTGTTAAAATGATTTCTTTTGTCATTTTAAATTTTATTTTTATGGTTAGTTTATTTTTAAAAATTACATATTTTCAAATTTTATATTAGCATTAATTTATTAGTTAGTTTTTTCAAAATTGTATTAATGTAATAATTTTTGTTATTTAAATTAATAATAAAATAACAGTAAACTTTTATTTTTTCTTAGTTAATTGTAAAAAACTAAAAATAGATGATTAGTCAAAAATGAACTGAACCCTATATAATACGGGTACTGCAAACTATAAGGACCCATATATAGTGTGAGCTGCTAATGAACTTTGGGTTGAGGTCCCATATCTATCATGGGTAGCTGTTTGTCTACCAAGACCTGAATACAATGTAGTTGGTTTGAAAACATGTTTTATAAGACCTAAATCCTTCACCCGTGAATAGGAAATATGTTTGCGGAACCCAATTATGTGACGGGTTTCTTGACAGTGTAGCCGGCCAGAGAAAAGTGGGAGAGGAGAGAAGAGAAGAGAAGAGAGGAGAGAAGAGAGAAGGTTTGCAATGTAACAGTTCTAGTGGCGCCAGTGTTTATTTTACTATATATAGGGTGACCGAAATAACAAGGGAAAAGACCCTTGTGCCCCTGAGTACAATAACAGACATAACAAAAATAACAAAATGAAATTAAAAACACTTTAATTAGCCAAACAGGCC